CTTTTGATGCAGTGGGTTTTTTTCTCTCTTTTTTTTTTTTTTTTTTTTTTTTTTTTTTTTTTTTTGTGTGTGTGTGTGTGACAAAACACTATATATGCTTACATACAGCTATAGAGTTCTTCCCATTTTCTTATGATATAGTCAGATAATTGCTCAAATGGTTCTAATTATTATATCAATAGCGTGTCTCTGTCTAGTGAGTCTAAAATGACATAGTTTAAACCATTTAAATTTTCCCAAATGCTTTAGATGCAAGCCAATTTTTTGATGTTAATAACAACTATCACAAGAACAGAAGAATTTTACAGTGGTTTTAAAGCTTGATATCTTTAAAGGTTTAAAGTAGATAGCTTTTTAGTAAAATATACCTAAGTAAGTCCTGGAATCTTCTTTTATAGCAAAGACAAGTAAATTTGGAGGCAAAGATGATGGTACTAGTTTTAAAGCAGCGTTACTTTCTGGCCCACCAGGAGTTGGTAAAACTACTACAGCTGCTTTAGTTTGTGAGGTGAGTTCAAATTAATGTTTGTACCCAAGAGTGTTTGTTTATGTGTTGGTTCTGTAACTGGCTGTGTCCAGGTAGATCTGCCCTGGAGTATAAGGATTCCCCCCCAGCCAAGCTCCATGCACTCGGAGCAGGGTTATAGATGACAACGTATGGGAATTTGCATGTATTGTTTCTGATCTGGAAAGAGGGTTGCAAGAGATGTTTTTTGGAACTTTGAAATTTTGTTCCTAATATTCAGTGAGCTTATGCTGCTCTTAATGATCTGTGTTTTCATTTTCCTGCGTGGTTTGCATGTTTGGATTAGGAGCTGGGGTACAGCTACGTGGAGCTGAATGCCAGTGATACGCGCAGTAAAAACAGTCTGAAGGAAGTGGTTGCTGAATCGCTTGACAACACCAGCATCAGAGACTTCTGTTCTGGTACGTCTGTTGTCTGCGGGAGGGTTTTCTCCCTTTTAGAGTCTAGCTACCAGAGGGACAGAGCTTCCTTGCTCTGTGACAAAGTTATGGAGAACTTGGAACTGAGAGCTTAAGAAACCGAGATTCTTCATGCTGTAGAAGGAGCAAGCTCTTAATACGAGTGGTTTAATTTAGTAAGATGTTCTGCTTCATCTTCAAGGTAACATTAATTGCTATTTAGGGAATCAATTCTTACTTAGCAGAAACTGCACAAATTGCTACTTGCTGTAGTTGCTCTTCTGTTGCATGGTAGTTAATTCATGAAAGAAGAGGTACAGTCAGCTCCACTTTGTGAACATAAAGCTGAAAGGCAGAGCAAGAGGTTTACAGCATTGCAGTTGTCTGGTGATTTCTAGAAATTATCTCTTCTATAGAGGGTTGGGTAAACCTCTGAGCAAGACGCCTTTTTTTATTCCCTTGAACAAAATGCTCTATTAGGATCTCATTTTCTTGTCCGTGTTCATTTTCAGGCTCTTCCTCATCAGTTAGTGGGAAGCACGTATTGATCATGGATGAAGTGGATGGGATGGCAGGCAATGAAGACAGAGGAGGGATTCAGGTGAAACTGCTACAATTATTAGTTAATACTGTTGCTAAAAATTCATACCATACACCAGCACAGAATACTTAGAAGTCTGTAACTGTTTATGGGATAAGGACAGAAGATTCTGACCTGTTCCATAAGTCTTCTAATGTGAAGGTAAACTTCATGTCTTAGTAGATTAAAACAGGCACTTCTGGGGTGTGTGTGAGTGTGAGGCTACCTTAAGTGTGTGTCCTGTAGATGATTGCCTCTGGATTAGGGGGATTAACTCAAGTTCTCTGCAGGTGGTTTTTATTTTCAGAGAAAGATCTGTAATCTGGCTGGGACAACTGCTCTGTCCAGTAGACAGTAACACTGAAAAAATAAAAGTGCTGCTGTCAGTTTTGTACTTCATTCTCCTTTGCAGCTCTGGATTTAACTTGCAAAATTTCCTATGGTCATATGCAGTACTGCAGACAGTAAAGGGGACACAGATCTTGTACTGCAGCGTAAAAGTCTGAGCTATATAAAGTTGCATTGAATTTCAAGTTCATTTGTGGGGAAACCTACCAACCCCCAGTCTTTTGGACTGGGAGGAAGGGCTGGTATTTTTGCTGCTGTTTTGTTGTTTATGACAAAGTACCCCGGAAAAGAGGCCTGCTCCCTGTGGGCTTTGGCCAGGTCAAAATGGTCTGTGGGAAGATGATTGTGGCCTCCAGGTGGGCAGCAGTGCTCTGCACTGCTGGTGTGCACTGCTGTTTGAAGAAAGGTCTAAATAGGGCTGCTGGAAATAGGTGGTTTGTGAGAGAGCAGAATTATTGCAGCCAAACAGAACAGCAAACACGAAGTAGGGAAGGGGAGCAGGTTTTTGCTGTGGGGAAGGCTGATCACGGAAGGTGTTTTATAGGCTTGCATCAGTCAGTAGGACAGGCTACATCGTTTTGTCTGTGGAATCTGATGTGACTGTTGTGTTTTATTGACAGGAGTTGATTGGTTTAATCAGACACACAAAGATACCCATCATCTGTATGTGCAATGACCGAAACCATCCTAAGATTCGGTCTTTGTCCCACTACTGTTTGGATCTTCGTTTTCAGCGACCTCGTCTAGAACAGATTAAGGTGAGAAGGCCTTATGGCTTGTATGGGCTGCAGTGAGTTGTCATCAGTAAACTCTGTCTTTAGGTGTTAGAATTCGTACAGAAATGAGACCACCACTTTTGTCGCCTTAGAGAATAACTCTGCTCTTCAGAATGGGTTGTCTGAGTTGGTCTTAAGTCTCCCAGATTTAGACACCTATCTTAAATCTATTCAAGTTAAGTTCTTTAAAAAAAAAAAAATCTTTTAAATAATCTATTTCCATACCTATGAATGCTGAAGATATATGTACATGGAAGGCTATTAAAATTCTTAAAAACAAGGAAACAAGGATGTTCTTTGACAGATGTCTATTGATCTTCCGTATGGAGGAAGAATTCATAAGAATTCTCTAATGACTTTTTAAAAATACTGTATGTATTACAGGGTGCCATGATGTCTATTGCATTTAAGGAAGGCTTAAAAATCCCACCACCTGCTATGCATGAGATAATCTTGTCAGCAAATCAGGACATCAGACAGGTTAGTGCCAATTCAGTGTCACTGAATTCGAGTCACTGAGTGCAGGATTTGAGCAGTATGACATACCTTTTAGTTATACAGATTTTTTTTTTCCTCTGAAGTTTTAAGTTTTTCCTTTAAATGTATTTAAATTACCAACTTGTTCATTCTGTTCTATAGATTTTGCATAATCTTAACATGTGGTGTGCAAAAGATAAATCATTGACTTACGATGAGGCGAAAACAGATGCCAGCAAAGCCAAAAAGGACATCAAACTGGTAGGTAAAATATACTGGACTGGTTTTATAGCCATATTTTCATAAAAGAAGATGCTTTTAAAGCCTGGTGCCTAATTTAAAATTGAAGCACTGGTAGCCCAATTGCTAGCTGATCCAACTGATATTTTGAGCATGTGTCACCTCACTCTGGTAAATCCAAGACCGAGTATCTTTTTGATATACTGGCCTTTTTATGCAAGCTGTGATTATCAAGCTGATACTTCTCATTCCAAGTTCTCTCATTAGCAGATAATTGTCCTGATTCATCTTGGAAGCAAGACTCTATTTTCAAAACTGTTGAAAAATAGGAAGGAAATACTGAGCATTGAGCTCTTACTGATGAGTCTTGGTGCTGTTGAGTACCATCACTGTAGGAGCTTGGTTTGTGACGCGCGACGCGTCATGTCTGCGTTGAATTGCAGCCCACTTACTTCTTGAACTATTATTTGCTTAGGGCCCTTTCGATGTTGTCCGGAAGGTTTTTGCTGCTGGAGAGGAGGCTTCTCACATGTCTCTTATAGACAAATCAGATCTGTTCTTCCATGATTATTCCCTAGCACCTCTCTTTGTCCAAGAGAATTATATACACGTGAAACCGGCTGCCGCTGGGTGAGTTATTCCACACCCTTGTGGAAGATCCTTTCATGCAGGGGAGTTAGAGTACAAGATATCTGCATATTTCTGCATGGTGATATGATCAACCATATGTATATATTTTTTCTTCTTCTAGAGGGAATCTGAAAAAGCACTTGGTGCTCTTGAGTAGAGCAGCTGATAGTATATGTGATGGTGATCTCGTGGACAGACAGATTCGTAGCAAGCAGAACTGGAATCTTCTTCCAACACAGGTGCTCACTTGCCATTCCTTTTGTGGGCTTTATGCATGCCCCATATACAAGGCTGATCACTAGAAACTGTTGTCTTAATATAATTTTCTGGCCCGTATAGCTGACACTCCTTGTAGTATTCTTGCTCCCCACTGGGGAGTAGTGCACTTGCCTATATTCATGTGGCTCAGCCCATTCCTATGTGTCAGGAAATTGAGTTTTCTGGAAGTTGGAAAGCCTGAGCCTCCCTAGGCTGTAGGAACATGTGCACGGCGAGTTGAGAGATGCAGGCAAAAGCCTGCTTGAAGTCTCATTTGCATCATCTCAACCTGTTACCAGGCCAGTGTTTCTCCCAAGCACAGAGAACTGAACCCTCTTTGCTTTACTTCCTTTCTGATGATGACTGAAACTTTTGTGAGACTTGTGCTTAGAGCATTATGGCTGGCATCAGACAGTGTAATAGTAGAATAACTTAAATTGGAAGGGGCCTCTGGAGATCACCTAGTCTAACCCCCTGCTTAATGCAGGTCCAAGTACATCAAGCTGCTTAGGAACTTGCCTAGCTGAGTTCGTGTAGTTTCATATTAGGAATGTTTTAGTAACTGTGTTCTGAAATATCTCCTTTACTGTATTCATATATTGGAGACCGGCTTTTAAAACTCAGATCATTTCACAGATACTAGAAAATGATAATAAATAAGGGTGACAAGAGACAAAGCTGTAACCTTTAAGGGGTAGAACAGAAAAAAGCAACCGAGAGAGATCTCTTAAAGACAGCTCAGTTTCCAAAACGTTAGCTGCCCACTTTCACTGGTACAACTTGCATGTTATGTCCTGGTGTCAACTTGAGTAGTTCACTGTGAACTAAGTCTGGCATGTGTGTTTTCAGGCTATTTATTCAAGTGTTCTGCCGGGGGAGCTGATGAGAGGATACATGTCCCAGTTTCCTGTCTTTCCCAGCTGGCTGGGGAAATTTTCATCCACAGGCAAACATGATCGCATCGTTCAGGAACTGACAATGCACATGAGTCTCAGGTAATACCGACATATCTCTTCTCTTTCTGAAGCTGTAGGCTTTTCTGTTCTATCCCCACCTGCCCAGTTCTGGTGCCATATCCCTTGCATCAGATTCTCCCTCATTTAAGTAAAACCCAGGAGGGGGAGGGAGGTGCAGAAGAGCTTACTGTTTTTAGGGCAGCTGCTGATTAACCATTTGCAGGCTGCTTGTGTTCAGAAGAGAGTCTTAGTTGCACAACTTTGCTTACCCCTCTCGATTTCCTGAAGAACCCAGACCTGCAAGAGGACACTGAACATGGAGTACCTGCCCTACCTGCGGGATGCACTTGTGAAGCCCTTGCAAGACTTGGGAGCAGATGGCGTGCAAGATACTGTGGCATTTATGGACTCTTACTGCTTGATGAAAGAAGATGTTGAAAGTATCATGGAAATAAGCACCTGGGGAGGCAAACCCAGTCCTTTTTCTAAACTGGATCCTAAGGTAAAATTGGCCAGTGATAATCTTAAAATATTTTAAAAAGAAATCCTAGAATGACAGCCATAGCACATATGTGAGAGGGTGCAGCTGGCCAAGTCACTTTATTAATTGTAATATAATGTCAAGCATGGAGTGCATTGTGGTTCAGTTGTCAAACATGCAATAGCCCCAAGATGAGGGCTGGCTTGGGGTACATCCCAAGAGATGGCCAGGTTATGTTTCATTTAGCACCTTTTCTAGATGGTGTCCTCCTTTACAAAAGGTTCAGTTACACCTTTCTCTGCTGAGAGGTGATGCTAAGGCAGAAGTTGTTTAGGTGGGAGAGTGCAGAGTCCTGAGCTGATGCTCCCAGTAACTCCTTGCACCTTCCAACCAGGTGAAGGCAGCTTTCACCCGGGCCTACAACAAGGAGGCCCATCTGACCCCGTACGCGCTGCCTTCTGCCAAGTCCTCCAAAAGGCAGGTGGGATCCGTGGCGGCCTCAGAGCTGAGCGAAGACTTGAACGTGGAAGAGACCCCATCTGACGAGGAGGAGCAAGACACTGTTGAAAACGACGCCATGATTAAGGTGACTTAGTCTGCTATGGTAGAGCATCACTGGGGAAACTGTCTTCTTGTAGTTACTTTCCTGGCATTTTAATTAAAAAAAAATATATCAAAAAGAAAACTAGCATAGTAGGCTTTGAATTCATTACAGCCCTCACAAATTCTTGCCTGACAGAACAGCCAAGTTAGTGTGACATAACCAGATTATTGTCTGTTGTTTTCTGCTCGGATGTTGGACTAGAGGGTGATGTGTCACTGTAATGCATGAAACTGGGCAAGAGTCACAGCCAGAACTTAGCAGGGATCTCAGTGGGGCCAGTGCCAGTGATGAGGAGCAGCTACAGGCCTTGTGCATTTGGCTACCACAAATAGTTTTGTCTGTTACTGGCACTGCGTACGTCCTGGTCACGGAATTGAAAGTCTTGATAGCGAAGCGGGGGAGAGGGAAGGGAGAGATGGCCTGTACTCCTCTGACCTGTGGAAGGTCAATGCTGTTTATTACTGAGCTATGGATCACTCCAAAATAACTGCTTTTCATATATGCACTGTTTGCATCATTTTGGCTTCTGCTTTTGTCAGGTTATGGTTGCATTTTTAAACTATCCATTCTGTTCATCTATTCTGTTTATAGCAAAAAAAGGTAAAGTCTTCCAGGCTGCCGAAACCAGAGAAAAATGAAGAAACAACAAAAAAAGAAGGTAAAAGAAAAGAGAAAACAAGGCGCTAAACAGTGTAAGCTTGCTATGGATGCAGCTTTGCTTACCTAACTTTTGGCTGGAGCCTGGAACAGATTTGGTAATGTGGCTGGGGAGGTAGAACCAGTGCGTTGAAAATGCACCTCTTATAGAGGTGATGACTTTATTCTCACACTATGCAGTGCTGTAATTGCTCTAACTTGCTACAGAGTTATCAGCTATAACTACTCTTGTAAAACAAGCACCCGGGTGCATGAACATGACAGTATAATGCCAGGTAACTGTCACATTAAGTCTTCACAGGACTTCTAACTTTTTAAAATAAATTCTCTGCTATTATGTGGTAAAATCTTGTAAATAGTACATGATGCAAAAAATCCGAGTTGCGTGTGTGTACCATATGGAGATTAAGCAGTGTATAAAATTACAATAAAATAAGTTTCATTTAAGTTTCTAAAAAACTTTGATTGAGTTCATGGAGCCCTCTGTCTCTTGCACTCACTTGTGCACTGTTTCCTTCTGAGGTTGTGGCTTTCCTGCACGTGTCAGCTTGTGGTTATTTTCCTCTCTCACAGCTTCCAGGTCATTAAGAGACAGGGAAAAGCAAGGATGCCTTAGTTCCAGAATATGAGGAGCTAATTCTATGAGCTATATTTTTAAAGCCAGAAGGAAATACTTAGCAAATATTCATAAAAGCTCAAAGCTGATGCTGAATAAACAAATATTGGGATTCTTGCTGACTTCAGTAAGTTGTTGTCCAGATGTGTAATTGGGGTATAGTTTATACTGAAGTCCCTAATTTACACAGAATGCTCCCTACTTTGCCTTTCCATATGAAACAAAAGCTTTGCTTAGTAGAAAGAAATTATTGAGCAGTTTTATTACTAGAATAAAGTACAAAATTTGTCAAAAGTATTTACAGATTATCTCAAAATAGAAGTGACATGGTCATTATTGAATCTTACTGGCACAGACAGCTGTAGTGCAGTGTAACAGAGCCTTCCCCAGTGTTGCTGATCACCAAGCCCGCACATGCAGTTCTGAAAATAAACAGAAACAGTTATTTCTCAAAGTGTGATAGCAAATTAGTATCTTCTCTTGGGAGTGGGGGAAAGGTGTTTCTGGAGAGTGCAATTTCATATTGATCTGCTCTTATGTTAGACTTTACAGTAAATTTAGCAGACTAAAATGGCACTTAAAAGTCATAATTAATGGGAACTTTGCTACTTGCTTGTAGTTACCACTCAACAGAACTGATGCCAGATCAGAGTACAGAATAGTGGTCTTATCCTTTGAAATAGGAGTATTCCAACCCAGTGTGTTCTTGTGTGTTCTGTGATAGTTTCTGAGCATTCAGTATGCTGCAAATTCATGGTGCTTTATTACAGAAACCCCTGTAACCTGCATTTCATAGTGTCTAACTGGAAGGAGCACCTCTTACCCCTCTCTTCTGGAAGATCTCTGAGAGGCTTTGGTGCTGCTCAGCAGTTCAGCCTGCTCCTTGTGCTGCTTGAAGCAGAGCCAGCACTCTGGAAGGTCCCAGTTGTTCCAAACCGGAGTGGGGTGCAGAATACAGGACAGTTGGACACTGTCCTGGCAGTGAAGTGGCTCAAGGTGGGCCACCCAAGGGAGTTAACCAGGAGTTACCCACAGTAGCAAAAACTAAGGGGCTATTTCATGCCTGAGGGGCCCAGGCTTGATACACCTGGCCCCAGTTGTAAAGATAAAATAGAGGAAAGATTGAGGCAGTAATGTGAATTCTTAAGCACAGAGCTTCCTATGTTGGGAAAAACGTCTGTCGAGAGTTCTTCTCAAATATCTTCCAGAATGTGCCCTGTGCTGTAAGAAGCTGTAGCCCATACCTGAATTTACTGGTCCACTTCTGGTTTGAGGTATTGTGTGCAGTCGCTTATTTTCTTAAGATTCACAACATCAATCCTTTCAGAACACATTGGACATATGTTTTCACTCTGCAACATGCTGTTTTGAGAGAAGTTTGATAAGTTAAATAATAACTTAACACTTTCAAACAGCCGTTTGGGCCTGATGCAGAACGCAGGGAGCAAAGCGCTGACCTCTGTGATGTAGGAAATCTAGACTAGGTGCTCCTGGCTGGCACTTTGAAGGGGGAGACTTTTGAGGCAAGTAGTTGAGTGCTGTCAGGGTATGTCAAACTTGGGGAAGTGTATTGAGTTTTGTTAATTTTTTTTCCCCAGATATGAGATCTACTTATTGATTTTCAAATAGTTGACAACTAATACCACAACAGAAAGGCTGCTGCTGTTTGCAGGGAGGTGAAGGAAAAATTGGGAAGTAGAATTTATACAGAGTGACTTGGGCTAGAAAATGTCAGGTGTTGGGAGGTTCATGACTGGCAGGAGCATTTCCTCTCTGAACAGATGTATCCAATCCCCCTGTCATGTGGTTATTAGCAAGTGAGACAAGCAATTATTGCTTCTGTAGTATGAACCCAAGTACTGTATGTGTGTGGGGTAACTTTTCTTGGTGCATTTTGCCCAGCCCTGTCAGTGTCTGGTCTTGGATGAAGCGCTGGCCCCTGTCCATTAGTTTGGTTTCTGCTGTTGGAGTGTTGTACCTATGGCTGAATTTTTTCTATGTGATACTTTCTGATCCCCCTCAAAGCACCACTCTGAGATTGTGTTAGATGAAACTACCATCTATGAGTTAGGATTTCTTTCTCCCTGGCTATACTGCATGTTGCTTAGTACCACCTGAAACAGGTCTGCTCCCGGTGTATGCCCAGGCATATTCAGCAGCAGAAAGGAGAAAATAAAAATCCCATCTTACGCTTTGAATTCTGAATAGAGGGCGGGAAAGTCGCAGTGGGGGCAGGCTGTCCAGTCGTCTCGTACCATGTGCCGACCCTGGAGACAAAAGCTGCAGCTGATTAAATGGAATGCACCGTCTTAGTACCCGCATAGCCTAGTTCTGTGTTGGTTTCTTTGCGAAAGTCTCCGCAAGAATGAGAAAAATCTTGAGCAACTAAGAAAATGCAAACAGTATTACTGGAATTACTGTGACCAGAACTTGGATCAGAAAAGGAGCTCCAGATGAAATGCAATGTTTTCATTTAAAAAAAAAAATAGTGTTACTACTTCTAAAATTATTCTAGTTTAGCAATTTTGTAATGGTATCTATAGATCTACCTGCAGAGGTTACTGGCATTTTTGGGGCTGCATGGGACAGTTCTCAAAAAATGCCCCCACAGCCCCCAGCTGAGGCCAGGGGCTGCATCCTGCCCTGCCAGAACCGCTGATCGCAGGTGGCGCCTGCAGCCCAAGTCCTGGAGTGCCCTCTTGAACCCCAGGGGAGTCCACTGTTTTGGGGTGCAATAGAACCAACTGTGACTTGCTCCTCATGAGAGGTAATTCATAGGTACCTTCTCAACACTGCTGGCTCTCAACACCCAATTCAGAGATTTATGTTCTAATAAGATATTCTGTGTTTGACTTTGACAGTGACAGGGGTAGGATGCAAGTAAAGTTGCTGCAGGCCTAGTGATGGTACAGATGTGTGTGCTGTAAATGGAGTATGACCAAGGGCGAACCTGAACTTAATGTGAAACATAGGTGAGGATGTACATTACAGCTGGCTTATAAAATTACCTATCTAGAAGCCTTGGTTAGTTTCCCTTAAGATAATACTTGTAAAATGCATCAGTTGTCTGTTAAACCAATGGAGTGAGACAGAATTGCTTGTAAAATTGTTTTTTTGTAAAAACAGATTCTTTAGTTTTAATAAAGAAATTAACCACAACACTTGATTTCTCCTTAAGTAAAAGCTTCTGTCATAGCAGCATAACAAATCAAATGCATGGAGCCCAACTAAGGTCTCCCTGAGGGGGATAAGGGAGCAGCCGTGTGGCTGGGAAGGCAGCGGCAGCTGCAGCCCTCTCGTGTTCCCTGACCTGCCCTGCGCTGCCCTCGCAGATTCCGGCTGCACCAGCCACCTCCTCAGGAAGGTGGAGGCAGCAGAGCCCCCCTTACTGATTTACTGTCCAACTTAAGTCCCTGCAGTTTGCAGCTGAGCACACAGCCTGTTCCTTTTGTGAAAGTTGAAGAGGAGAGAGGTTTTTGCTGATTTGTAGCAGCTTGAAAAACTTACCTTGAGTCTACCAGCAACCTGGGGGTGTTCAGATGGACTTACTTAGATTTTAGGAAGAAAGGGTTGGTGCTCACTCTGAAGCCTGCAGCAGCCACCTATCACACTCACCGTTGCAATGCAGTAAGGGAGACTGTTCTTGCAGCCGGGACACAAGAGTTCACACTCGGGGAGCAGGAAGGCACAATAGGGACAGGATGTTGTTGGCTCTTCCACCTCTGAGGTGTCTGGACGCCTAGAGAAAGATATAAATACGAGGAAGAACTCAAACCCTTTGAACTTGAATAAAGATATTGAGTAGATAATTATTATTTATTTGCATGATTTCCAGTTAGTATGTCCCTGTAACTGTCACTGCTACTTCCTCATAATTATCTAAGAACAGGGTTGTTTTTCATTTAATTTGAACCAATGCAAGCCTTTTAAAGCTGTACCAGTTTATAACACTTGGAAGTCTTCAACAGTTCCTGGTCTTGCATTCTTATAGGAGGGAAGGCTATACGTGCACATGTATTTAGGCTAAATCATATCCATCCAGAAAAGGTTTTAATAGTCAGTAAAGAAGTGAAAGTATTCTTAGGCCTCCAACTATAAGACAGTGAAATAACATGAAAAATAAGGTCAGTAGGTTTTATGAGCAAAATGAAATTATTAATAAAGCCACTATGCTGTGTACATTTGACAGTACAAGAGACTTAACACTGCTCACCTGACCATTGCTTCAATTTTCTTTTTATATTTAAGATCTATTTTGTTACGATACTCAGGTCTCATCAACATGGCAGCAAAACTGAAGGCTGAGTTTTTCAGTCCTGCTCTGTGACACTCTATTACTGCTGAAGTCAAGATTGGGACAATATCTGTAACACATCAGAAGAGCAGAATACTTATTTACCAGTATCAACATTGAAAGCCTTTGAGCAAACAGCTCTGAAATGTTTTTGATGAAAAATGAGTGTATTTTTCATCTTCCTTATGTAATTCTTGACTCTAGGTTTAGTGGTAAGGTGACCAAGTCGATCAGAGTGTGTTCTGTGAGCTCTGGGGACAGTAACATGTGGCTCAGGTAACATGTCAGGGCTGGCAGAGGAGGGCAGAGCTCTCGCTGTATCTGCACCTTGGGCAGGATCCAACGCAGGCCTGGGATAAGAGTGGACCTGTTCAGTGCAATGACTAAGGGAGTTTCATGTTGTCAGACTTACGGGATGGGAACTTGCTGATGTTGTTGGCTACGCGTATAAGCATCCGCGCTCCCTTCATGTGATCGCCCCGTTTCACGTGAGCCTGGAATACAAGTACATAAAATCAGCTGCAGTCTTTACAGAAGAATTTAGGCACCCTGTTCCTGGCTGTTCTTCCTGGCAACCTGGGTGTCCTAAAGGGCCACATATTAACTACTGTGAACAGTACAGGCATCCTTGCTTCGTTTTGTTTACAGAAAAGCAGGGAAGCTGCTTCTTAATGGGGAAGCATAACATTTTTGTAAGCATGAATGCAAAAGAAATAAAGCCAGAGGTAAGCTTTAATTATTCAGCATCTGTAAAGCAATATGCTAATCAGAGAGCTAGAAATAATAACCAAAACATGTGCACTGTTCTCCTGAGGCATATTGTTAGCACAGGCTTGGATTCTGTAATACAACCGGTTGCCAACATTATTAATGTATATAGAACATTATCCATCCATACACACACACACACACACACACACACACTCTTAAAGCACACTCTGCAACATTTATGTAAATTCAGTTTCTGAATTCATTACCTTCACCAAAATATAGCTGTGTAGAATCATAAGGTTTGTAGCCATCTCAGAAGGAATTTTAATCTTCTGGGTCTTCAATTCTGAATACATACTGAAAAGAACATCATGCGCATTGCGGTAATTTCCTTAAAAATAAACAACATAGAATATTAAATTCAATTTTTCCTAACAATTTATTTATTCCGTGTCAAATGGTATATCAGAAAATTGAACAAGTTGTGTTGATATGTAGAGCAAAACCTTTGCATGCCCATTTCTTTGGAAAGTCACAAGCAATTGCTTGTCACAGTATCCTAAATAATACTAGTGAGGGAGGGAGTTAGTTTAACAAGATGTGGATGATGGTAGATAATGTTGCACCCTTTGCTGGTTTGAAATGATGCAGCCAGAATAACTTCCACAACAAAGCAAAGCTATTTTTAGAGCGCTGATACCTTTCGTTGTTTTTAAAATGACATATTCCATCTCTCTCTGTTCTTCAATTCAGCTAGCTAAAAGCCGTTGTTATATTCTAATTTAACATACTTTGTATTTTGCTCTGGCAACTCCTCCTCTGCAAACAAACCAACCCAAAACCTTTCAGTCAACGCTAGTTGACTGTTAATTCACTGGATGATACAGCTTCAAGGTTACTATAAAAAAATGGTCCAGAAATCCCAGGATTTCATTAAATTATCCATGCAGCTGAATTTGTCACCAACACAAACAGTGTTTAGCATGATCGGTCTGCTGCAACATACTTGTTTGTGATTTATTTTTTTGCACTGTTAAGCAGATGAAGAAGTCATACTCAGAATAAGAAGTCATAAGTCTAAGTTATTCTTATTCTTTAAAAAATGTAGAACACATTTGTACTACAAGAAAATACAAAAATGTGATACTGTATTTCAGTTGCATGTTCTAAGATACAAAGAAGATAGTGAATAATTAAACCCTTGAAATTTTACATTTCCCTAAAATAATTAGCACAAATAAATACATTATTCATTGTTATGATGAGATCCTGCTTATCAAGGCCTTTGATCGCTCCCCCTTAGCCCACTGCCAAGGAACAGTCAATAAATGCTAATTTGCCAGACCATGACTGTCCTTGTGTCCCCCCAGGCTGATCTTTTTTTTCTTCACAGCTATTTTTCTTAATTTATTTGAAGTGAAAGAAAGGTGTGTCACGGTAGGACTGTTGCTGTGGCTACAGAGGAGAGCTGCTAATGATGGTGGTAGCTGTTTTGCTTCGAGCCTCATTCCTTCCTGGTGCTTTCTTTCTCTAACACTGGTTACCTAGTAAAGGGGTGAACAAGGCTTGAGAAAGGTCTGATCATGCCACAGAAATCATCTCCTGTGCACACTTCTATTAGGAATTTTATATGTGCAGACTAGAGCATCAGTATCCCACTTGGAACCTGCATTTCACACTACTCTTAAGATGCAACTCTGTTATACAGAAAAGTTAAATTGTATTTTCCATAATCCTCTTTTTTTTTTCTTCAATATAGTTATAACAGTCTTCATAAAAAGATTCTTCACAAAAAATGACTCTTCACAAAAGCCATTTCAAATTCAAAATTAAACATAATTAAAAGCTTTACACTTACACAACAGGGTTTTATGCTTACAAAACAGGCTGACACAAGCTTTTTAGAGGTATAAAGCTGTATAAATAACAGTATCCAAAGGAATGCTGTGTGTGTGTGTGTGTATATGTGTGTACTCTGGATACTGTGTACACACACACACACACACACACACACACACACATATTATCAGAAAAAAGCCAAAAAACAAAAACCAAGAGACTAACCTGAACACTGTTCCTCCCTGGCAATTATTATAGCAGTTCTGGCAGCTTCTCTGTATTGCTTTAGTGCCATGTATAAGCGGAAGAGATACTTGGCATCCTTAGTTGAGTAAGACAAAAGTAATTAATAGCAATTAAATACACATGTCTGTGCCCTTGATTACTTCATCCCAACACCACTTTCCTCCCAGCAAGTGGACAAGCCAGTCTGCTCTATGAAGAATTATTGATATACTAAAAGATTCAAGAATGGAAAATGTAACCAACGGTTCAGCTAAGAATTGGCAATCCAACAGCTTAGTTCAACATCAAGAAGATCAGTGAAATAATTTAAAACAAAACTCTAAAATCAAGATGGCAGTATTGTAGAAGAGAAAAAGAAAATTAGGTTTTTGTAAGACATTTGAAAAAGCCCTCAACAGGGAGCTAAATAGTGACATTACAGAAACTGTGACCAAAATATAAAACACAGGATGATAGCTTCTTTTTACCATAAGCAAGCTTAAGTGGAAAGAAAATCCATGCTAGTACCATTGTTTCATATCTTTAGCAGTGATTTGTAAAAGGGCGTAAATTAAAAAAAAGTCTGTATGTGGCAATCTTTTAGCAGGTTAATTGAGACCAAATTAGTCCAATGCATTGTATATATTGATATGCTTCTGACTTAACTATAGAAAAATTAAAGAAAAAAAATATATATGGGTATCTGCCTAGACCCATTCAGGCTGCATTCTGTCTCCATCACAGCTGCTTCGCACTGCTCTCCTCTCCAGGAGGAGGGGGGATCCTGCCCCAGGACCCACCACTGCTCTGAAACAGTATTTGGTTTACCTAAATAGGACACCTAAGTTACTTGCGTGGTAGCTGTAGGTAGACATAATTACAAAAATAGAAGGCATTTTTTTTAAAAAAACATTAGTCTTATGTTCTAATTTCATATTCATATTCTTTAAGTTAGCCACTTTAAAAGCAATAAATATAGATTTTTCAACTGACAACACATTTCTTAAAGCCTTAGGAAATTTTTTTATTGTAATCTAACTGATCTTAATTTTAGATAGCAATCATTTTGCTTTTGTTTTTTAAAACACTTGTACTTAAAAAGTGCACATACAAAACAGCAGAACCTTGCTGAACACTTCCTGAAAAAATTAGAGAGAACACAAATTAAGAAAACTATGATAGCTTTTATGTGTCAGCTTTAACAAATACAGTATTCTGTATAATAACACATTTAAGAAATAGTTTATTATTAGACAGAAAATAGCATAGCAAAACTTTGCTAATTACTACAATTTTGATGATATGGAGTGTTAAAATCCTGTATAATTTTTTGCTGCGAAAGAATAGAAGAACCAGGCTGCTCTGTGGCTTCTCTGGTCTGAGCAATCAGTGCTGAAAGGATTAGCAAGTTTCTGCTGCAGGTTCACTCTTGAGTTCACTCTTACTTTGAGCTTTATAATATTACTACCACATGCAAGCTGCTATTTTATAGAAACAAACCTATTTGTTTTGTAATTTCAAAAACACTAGTTCCAGAGCATAATGAAAATAAAATTGAGTTGATCTGTAAGCAGATTTTCAAACAAACAACTATGATTCGATAAAGTAAAATTATGTTACTCACTGAGAGGGACTATGGCAGATGGGATTAAAGCATTCAGAAGAACAAGAGAGAGCTTTTAAACAAGGAAAACAAAGCTCTACATTCAAGTGAAAAACAATGTTAAATATGGCAATTATGGTATTTTCACAATCATTGAATGTTTCTAAAATCTTTGAAACTACTTCACTCAAGGAGCTCGTATTGTAGGACACTTCCCTTCTCCAGTCCTACACACTTCTTTTGGCAACCAGATGGCTGGGCTGCAGCTCGTAGGAAAATGACATGAAAGACAGGATGCTACAGTTTGTTTCTGTACATCCAACTTTCAGCATATTTATGAATTTGTTTTCCCTTAAACAGATGCATTTTTTTTTTTTTAGTGACAGATCTTTCCTCTAGCAGCTCTAACAGCTTAATTGTCTTCTGGTTTCCTGCAGTTTGCTTCATTATTGTCTTTTTCTTATAATTCTATCATGATTCAAATTGCAAATTACAGATAAGTAAAATAAGAGGCAAAATAATAAAAAGCTACTACATACCTAAAGGTTTAAAATATATATATAAAAGAAATGTTGTCTTGGCAACCAAGTGTCTAGTGTTGTATCTAAAGTCCAGAATATTAAATTCCTAGCCTCTAAGCACTAGAAAGAAATAAAACAGCCAGAATTTTTCATCTCACAACAGAATCAAAAACCACAACCATAATATTAAGGGTGAAATAATATTACTGTGCCAAGATCATGCTGTCTCCCTTGTTACCAAACCTTATTGGTCTAAACAGAGCAAAACTTACTATTCCAGACATATCATATTGTACATGACTGTTTACTCTCAGTTCATGGATGGAGTAATTATAGAAGCCTTATTCCTTAATGAAAGCAAGCTAAAAAGCAATCTGTGTCCATTGAAAATTTTAAGACAAAAGAAACTCAAAAGCTCTTCTAGTACATGACACAACAACACTGGTAGAAATACGATACCTTGGGCATGCCATCGGTCTCTCCCATAAGAAAATCTATCAGCTGATTTGTTAGGGCTTCATCTTTTGCCTGTCCCACCTATTAAATAACAAAAAAAAATCATGAAGGAGGCTATAAGAAAGATTTTTATGAAAATCTCTGAAAATAGATTATAGATATATTTTAAACATAAATTTATTGGTTTTGTATGGTCAAATCAGATGATTACGTGGTTTATCAGATTTGACATGAACTTTCTAATGCATTTTTATTAAACTTGGGGGTTATAAATAAGCAAGCCTTTATCAGCATGAACTGTTTGCTTCTTCAGCGCTAGGAAGGCCTCTGAGCCCAGGCCCCACTGTCACTATCGAGGCAGCAGTCTGCGCCTCAGCAGAACATTCACTGCAGGTCACTGCAGCAGAGCCCCAGCTGAGAGGCAGTTCAACAAACGTGACTGAGATGTTGAGATTCCGGGAGGGACACAGCCCACTTACAGCAATGGCCTTTGGGCTTATCCTCAGCTTTTGGTGTATCCACCACCTGGGCTCACATCTGGCTCCAGGGGACAGCATCAGACACCTCAAACACCTCAGTCCCACAGGGTGGCTATCGCAGCTCTAGGTAGAGTCAGGCCTGATGACTCCAGCACTTTGTAGGCCGTGAGCAACTGAGCTAAAGTCTACACAAAGATTATTTTTTAGGGATGGAAAACTTGTTTTTAACTGATAGAAATGAAAAGGGGTTAGTAAGGCTGATGCTGCAAATGATCTTGTGAGAATGGAGGCTGCCAGAATAGAGAATGGAAGTGCACTGACCTTTCTTACCACAGCACACACCACAGCATGCAGCAGCAGCACTGCTGAAACACCATGGATGGGTATTGCTAAATAAGGAAATCCTAATTCACACATCTGACACACAACCACGGAAGTCTGAAGGGATTCATAAACCCTCCTCTGGAGGCTGAAAGCATTTTTCCCTCTGCTGCCAGTTGTTTTAGGGGTTTTACATTTAGCTAATATCTTTACTGATACAGTTTTCCTTCTGTTTGTGTGTTGTAGCACTGTCCTAGTGTCACTAAGAATGATTGGACAGAGAGCAAAGATTTCTTGATAACATGAAGAATTTTGTATGTATCAAAGTTTCTTACTGTTTCAATTGCCATTTCTATAGCCAGGTTATCTTCTGTGCTCGGACTTTTCAGAAAGTGCTTTAATGCCTAAAATGGAACAAAAGATGAGTTAAAACTGAGACAAAAGATTTGTTTTTAACCAGATTATTCCTCTCTGCCTTTTGACAGAAAAGCACCATGGCTACTTATCATGTCTGTATTTTATGGTCTTAAGGATAGTCATGCTATATAGGACGTAGCTGCTCTTACAGAAACTGCTGCAAGAAAGACCAGACCATTCCTTGCCAAATCCTGGCGTATATTTTCCATCTAACTGGGAAGGATGCTCAGAGCAACACAGTGTAACAGACTGATTAATGGGGTGCTGGAATCCCCCTGAGCTCCAGGTGAAGGAGCGGTCACCTCCCTCATCCTTATAGCGACAGCTATAATTTGTAAAAATCAGAAATGTTTTTTAAGTATGTGCTTAGTATGAAGATGATGAACATTTAGTTACGTATCAGCTAACAAGCTTTTACCTAATAACTAAAAGAATTATGTATATTTACATACTTGCTTTTACAAAAAGTTCTAAGTTAAAGTATGCTACAGTATTTAATAAATGCAGAATAATTCAGCAATGGAGCACTGGTCAGGAAAATAAGTCTAAATTATCCTTTTATTTTCACATTATTAATGGAGATTCATACAGAACAGTATGTCTTTGAACACTTGGAGGCTTTGTTGCTATGAAAAAGAGTTATTTGCCTGATAGTATAAGTTAGAGAGTACAATGTGTACAATTATAAATATAAATACTTTGGTTAGCTTTAGTGAAGGCAGGCAAAATGTCTCCTGTGATTTTTTTCTGATTTTGAAGCACTATATTTTGATTTTTTAAATACCACTATTTTATTATTTAAGTACTAACCCGTGCATATTGGCCACACAGCAAGAAAAATTTTCCTGCCTGAAAATGTTTCTTTTCTCCTTCAAAATATAAAGCAATGCTCTGATAATCTTCATTAGTAGTATTCTCAGAACCTGCAACAGATACATAAGGATAACACAGTATTCTTATAAAGTAAGATAAAAGATCTTACCAAAGAAATGCCATATTCTACTTTTTTTTTTTCTATTGACATTTACAGGGGAACAAAACCAACTAGACTGAAATTAGCTCATAAATGGTTTTTGGCCATTTAGTCAAATACCGAATGTCAGACCTTTAAAGCTAATAATGCAGTGAAATATTTGTTTGCATAGATTTTACACTGTAATTGGATTTCTGATTTTTAACAGACACAATAAAATGGCATAGCTAAGACCTGACCAATGACTAACTTCTAAACTCGTTATCCCTTGGCAACAGTAAAACAGGACAGTGGAATTCTGCAGAAGATTATGAGATTATCATCTGAATTATTTTCACAGCTTCAGAATATGTTTGCATTGTACAATGTATGATTATCAGAAGTGAGCTATGTTAACATGAAATGTTACTTCATCTTCTAACCAAGACTCTATTTTATTGTATGCACCCAAAACACAGTCACTACTCCAAAACTGAAGCCTTCCCTTGCCCCCTGCTAATTTCAATTTAAGTATTTATCCTGCTATTTTGGATAGGAGAGGAGGAGGAGGAATCCATAGGGAAACAAGAGTACCAGCCACCTGGATGAGCAGCTATAACAGTATACCTGTAAGGTAACTGTTGCCAAGTTTTTAGGGACATCATGGCAAGAATACATTTTTAAATGGAAGCATTAACTGAAGATACAAGATAATCACAAGGTACTTATGTGGAACTGTTCCCACAAAGGTGACACAGGAGAAGAACACAAAGTCGGTTGCAAATTGACAAGTTGGCCACTGACTGACTTTATGACCTGCGGTAAAAATCAGCTTCTCAGTAAAACTTCTTTTTGCTTCTTACTCAGACAAGAGGCCATGAAAGGCCTTAAAGAAGAAAGGAAGGACAAGTGATTTATACATGTAATAAAAGAGCTTGAACCTTGAGAGAGGAAAAGATGGCACAAAATTGAAAATCGCACTAGTAAAATTTTCAGTTTCAGAAAAGCTATATTAAATACATCAATGTCACGGAATGGGATTATTCAACTGACACAAGAAAAAAAAATCTAGACAAATGCTTTTTACCTCTAAGGATACACAGGAAGCACAAGCAATATTTAAAAGCAACAGAGAGTGAGGACCCTGGGAGACACTTGAGCTGAAAGGAATGCCAAAAATTACACACAGGACAGCAAATCATCCAGTGGTGACCGAAAATAGACAACAGATGGAAAGGGCCTGGAAACACAAAAAGTTCCAACTCTCACCTTATCACTTCAAATCTGTCTAAAACAATAAATAAAAACAACCAACCAACCAACCAACAACAACAACAACAAAAAAAAAAAAACAAGAAAAAACACACATGCACCACACACATTCCAAGCAAACTGCTCTGCTGGAATACTCACTGATGATATCAGCATAAATCTCCATCTTGTTGTGCTGCTGAGCTAATGTGAAAGCTTCGTTATTGCACTTGGACATGACAAGGAACTGAATGGCAGAACCATAGTCACCAAGCTGCAGAAAGAATCTAATCAGAATGAACAAGTTAATACCTTAGTTAAGTAATAAAATGAATACTCCAAATGTTTTTGCAAGATAGTATATTTTTGTGGCATACAGATATGGTATGCTTCTAAATTATTGTATATCTTCATTATTTTAAAAAGGTAAGTAAAATTAACTCAGTATAGACCACACAGCATGGCAACTTTATGATTGTCTAAATTTATAACTTCAGGCTAATATAATTTAATTAAATAGTTACAAAATAAAACACAGTATTTGCTTAGGTGACTGAGTCTGATACTTTAATAACCTCCCGGTGTGTCCTTTTTCACCCTTTTAAAACTCTGGCTGCTCCATAAACTGAAAGCACAATAAAAGACTGAAATACTAAGATTTTTAGTCCTGAAAGTTAACATGAAAGTCACAGAATATGATAAAACCACAGTGATTAATATTAACACTTGGCACAGCTACCAAAATCATTAACTTAGAAAATGTAATAATGATTTAAGAGTGGTAAAATATATTTCATATATCTAAACAGTGAAGAAAGCAAACATAGGACTGAGATGTATTATGAGACATAAAGAATATATTCAAGGAAATATTATACATACTACGAACTCACACAACATTTCTTTTTATTGTAATTCCATTTACTGTACTGAGTACAGTTTTAGTCTCTGGCAGAAACATGAAGGAGGGAACATGGTTAGTAGTACTCAAAGGTTACTAATTATAACATGACTATTACCTGGCCACCATCTTGGCTCCATCAAGAGACTGTGTTTCCCTCACAACATTAACAGCCTTTTCAGGATTGTTAAGGTGATCCAAATACAGCCGGATTACACTGTCCCATTGCTTGGCATTCTCATAAGCGATCACAGCTTCCTTGTACCTGAAAAACAGTGATTCCACAGGAGTTCTTCTAACTTTTCCTACATTCCTCTCTACAACATTTGAAATGACTTTGAAAAATCACGTCTTTATAAAAGGATTCCTTAGAAGTAAGTTGAACTTCAATGCTCTATTACATGGAATACTGTATTGGGTATACAATAAACCAGAAACATATTTCTGATACTAGTGGTAGATCCTTGAATTATGTCTAAATTTCTACACAGCATCTTAAATTTACATATTTCAGAGTCTCTTTTCACAGTGGATTTTCTGCAACATTTACTTTTTAAAATCTTTTCATTTATTTTAAAAGGATAATAATGCATTTCAGAAATAGTAATGTACTTTATAAAAACAGACAAAATCACTCAGACGCACCTGCCATCTGCCTCTTTGGCCTTCGCATATTGCAGGTGAATCTTTGGAGATGAAACATGAGGAAGAAGTTCACCAACCTTTGCCCTATGAAAGATGACAGCAGTCATTTAATAAATACCTCTGGTTTAAACCTTCTTCAGTGAAACAGAAATATTTATAACAACAGTGAAAAAGAGGCTAAAAATAAGTAATTAAACATAAAGTACAAATTTTGAATGTGCTTTAATAATTTCAAAAAGCCGCATTTTATATATGTAAGAACTAGAAATTATATCCTTGTTCAGGAACATGCTTAAAGAAGAGCTGCTTCTATTTTCTGAGTTGAAAGATACATGAACATTAAAAAGCGTCTGACTGTTTTTGCCTCCAGCATTCTCCAATTCACCTACAGAAGCAGCAAAGTATTAAAACTGTAACCTAACAAGCAAATACTAATACAGGTCCAATTGTGTTGGCTCCTGTGTTTGCTTCAACTTTGGCCATCAGTTGCACAGAGGACTCTAGGCACTTGGGACCTGGTTGCTCTGTAAGCGACATCATCTCGAACAGGGGAGCGTGGAGGAACACAGAACTACATGTCTGTCCTTTCATAGATTTAACCAGGATTTGCACACACAGTGTCATCTACAAAAGCTAGCAAACTACCTGGAGAGCCTTTCAAGGCAACAAATATTAAAGGCTGAAGAGGCTGATATTAAATCTCGGACGTCTCTGTCTAGAAGACAGAGCAGTGCCCGAGACATCAGGAGACTTGAACCTCCTGCCACGTGGGTAAACAAAGTTCGTGCCTCCTACCTTCCACCTTCCGCTCTCATCACATGCAAGTTAGCCTATTGAACAAAGTGTTGTCTTCGTCCATGCTGAGGACAATGATATGCTTTAATGAGTGTGATGAAAAGAAGTAATGAATACTTTTTATCAGAGAATAAGCTCAGTGCCCCATCCTTATTTTTAAAGCATTTGCATGAGAGAAGAGAGATCTGTGTTCTTGTCTCTGCTCCAAACAGGACTCAGTAGCAAAATAAATAAAATATAATTAGACAAGAATTTGTCCCTTAAGTCTCTCTGCAATTGCACTTCTCCTCTGGAAACTTAACAATGACCAAATTCACTAAAACACACTGACCATAATGTCCACTATTTTAACTGCTCATGATACAGAACTCCATTTGAACTAGCAACTTCCAACCTCCTGCATTATCAGAGTCCCCACTACATACTCCATAACTGAAGAAATTTAATGAAGTAAACAATAACCAGACAAATACAACTACTACATTCAGTATACAAAAAAAAAAAAAAAAAAAACCCTTGAAATTACAGGTCACTTTAAACACTACACGAGAAACCAAACAAAAAGATGACCACCTCGTTTTCAGTATGGCTATATTTAAATCAGTGCAAGTTATTGGGGTTTTGTGAACACTGTGCTTGTTTAAGCTTAGAGGAGGGAACCATAACACTAATGAAACGTAATTCATGCAACATTTGGGATACTGAGAGAATTCTTCCTTTCCAAGGACATTACACCAACACTTGAGTCTCAAGAAATACATCACTTCACTGAAACCTCTACTTACCAGTTTTTACACCGGATGTATACTGATGCTGCCTTGTCATAATATTGTCCCTTTTCATACAGCTGAGCAGCTTCTGAAAATTGCTACAATATTGGAAACCATTACAACATCACTTGTAAGTTACAATTATACATCAGCAGCCTAATGAAGTCACATATTCAGCATGAGCTTTACTAACTCTTTTGAGTACCTTCATACTCTCCAGAATAGCTCCACAGTCTCTCTTTAGTAACCTGCTAGGATGTTTAATGGCCTGGTTTACCCCTCGACGGATATCTCCCATTCGAATGGACATTTGGGCTACTCCAGCAAGGCAAGCTTCATCATGTTCCTGGTACTGGCAAGCAAATGAAAAGCACTAATTATACCTTGCATATAAGAAATATCAGCTTGCAAAAGCCATCATAATCAAACAGTGAAACAAGTTAACAAAAGAATAAAATGGACTTCAGTCAATTCTTGTCTAAAAACTCTCGTCTAAATGCTGCTATTCAAAATTAAGTAGCAGAACTATCTATCATGAAGAATCATGTGTTTTACTTATTGATCGCCTGCTTAATTTTTGTCTTAACCTTTGGCCTTTCCTTTTTACATTTGACTTACAAGAAAAATAGAGTCCAGACCAAACATAAAGGAGAGGAATCTGCTTTTTCGAACAGCTCAATGCTAATTGCCTCTCCCGCTCCAAAAAGAAAAAAAAAGAAAAGAGAAAAGCAGCAGAGAAAAAGAAGGAAATACCCTGCTTGCAGTCTCATTTTTTTTAATGGCGGTAAGACCTTTGATGCTTTTAAAGCCAAATAGCTCGAATTCAGAAAAAAATGCTATTGCCCAGATTAATTTTTATCATTGAACTGCTTTTTAATGTATATTACTCAAATGTTAGTGGAAATAATGCCAGGATAGGGAGGACCAGTTGAATATTCCGTCTTTTTTCTAACACAGTCTCTTTCTTTTTTTATGTAGATAACAATCCAATAATAAAAGTATTAATTAGGGCTTTATTGTAACAATTCTGGCAGTATTTATCCTAAAATTTGCCGGTGCCTATTATGAAGCTGCTCAAGCTATAAACACTTGATTTTAATTATGCCATTATAACACAATGGCAACACTACTTTGCATTTAGGAAAAGCATCATTTTGTACATTAAAAATAAGTGTGTTAAAGAGTACCCTCGCAGAAGCAGCAGTCACGCAGATTTACAGCCAAACACACACAAAAAGAGAATTTAAATAAGCCTGAAACAAGATAATGGTATGTGCAGTATGAGAGCGCACCTGCTATCGCTATGAGAAGGCATTACCTTATTGTCCCCAGTGATTCCCTTCTCATAATGTGCCAGAGCATTCACATAATCACCTCTAAAAGAAAATCACAGATAACAGGAGAAAATATTTTAAAAAAGAAGAGATGGTTACTGTAACACTCTTTGAGACAGATTTCCTATCTTTGAGACAGATTATACATATATCTGTCTTGCTTTAGACATAAACACTCCCATCCAGGATCTGAGGCATAAATAAATGTAGCTACATTAGGGCATTCCCCATGCACTTTATCAAGCTATTAGTCAAAGGGACAGTCCATCTCTCTTCAGTTCCTTTATACTGACACCAAAAAACCCCTGAAATACAAGCAAAGAGTCTGTCTATGGGCATAATATCTATGTGCACAAGCCTATGTGCTCAATACTCTTCACATCATTTGCTGGAAAATAAACTAAACTTCTAATGCTATTTATGTCTTTTGCAATAGAAAAATAAGGTTTTCTTTATTTTTCTTAAATAAATTCAGAACTCAAGTCACAGATGGCCACATCAAGCCAACTGGCTCAGTTCCCTCCTCCCTCTTTTCTGTGATCAACAACCATCTTCCCTGAGATCACAGAATCACAGAGTGGTTGAGGTTGGAACGCACCTCCAGAGATTATCCAGTCCAACCCCCTTGCTCAAGCAGGGGATACTGAGAGAACTTTTCCTTTCCAAAGGACATTACACCAAACCTTCAGTCTCAAAACCCTCATATTTCTGTAGCCTGATAGTAATCATACAAAGCTGGTCTTTCTGGTACTACAACTGCAAAACCTCCCAGAACTCATTCTCAGCAATGCAACTGGATAAAGTATCTCAATTCCATGATTCTTAGTTTGCCATTCCTGCACTGCAACCTTACAGAAGAACTCACGTGAATTCAAGCTGCGCTGCGTATTCCTTCGATATGAATGGGATTTGCTCTGGGGCCAAACGCTTAGCCAGCTGAAGAGCACTATCCCAGTGCTGCAAGTCTCTTCGCATCTATTGCAAAGAACAGGAACAAACAGCAATTTGATATTATTCTGAATATAATTATAGATCTAGCATTCTAGGAGGATTCAGCCAATTTGAGAGATACATTCATCTGAAAAGAAAGGTTCTCATTCACAGAATGGCAAGAAGAAAGCCAAAAAAAAAGAGCAGAACTACCAGAAGGCAATTGATAATTCAGCACTGAGGTACAGAAAAAGAACAGCAGAAAAAATGTTAAGAAATCTTGAATGAATACCTCAAGTGCTGCAACAGGACAAGTGGATGCCAGATATAAATCCTGAGCCAGATTGAAATCACTAGTAAACATGGCAAGATGTCCTGCTAAAAGGTTGTGATCTTCTATTCCCTGAAAAAGACATCAGAGGTGCTAAAGTAGTTCAAACAAACAAACAAACAAAATTGCCAGTAATGTAGTCTGGCATGCACAGCAAAACAAAGTAACCCTATGGTGCATTCTCAAAAGCATGCATATTATATTCTACAAATCATAAAATAAACTCATTTTTTTTTAATTCAAAACTTTTAGCATCACATCTGCCTAAACTCTAAGTAATTTGCACAGACATATCTTAAACTAGTATTTCATATACCTTTTTGAATGTATTATTACTTCTATTAAAAAAGAATAATGTTAAACTTTTAGCCTTAAAGATTTTCTCAAAAGTTACAAAAGAAAAAAGAGGCTCCAAATGCCTGAGACATGAAAATAGTCTGCTGCTCTCAAGCAGTTATGGAAGGAAATGTTGGCCACTCTCTAACGCAGATGAACACTGTGGTATCGTAGGACTGTTCACCAAGGGCTGATCTGTCAGGAGGTGACTTATTGGAGTGGGGGAAACCTCTCCTCAGAAAGCTCATAAGGATTCATCTGCTTCCTGCAACAATGCTGCCGTTCATGGGCAGTAGGACAACACAACATGGACACAAACCCAACAAGGCCACAGTCATGAAAAATGTGAGAATTTAATCAGGGCTCCAATACAATGACTTTACGAGACAGAACGAGAGAATGACGACAATACGAGACAGAACACTCTCTGAGGCCATAGAGATACATAGACTGCAAAAGCAGTTACACAAAGAGTAAAATAATCTTCAGTCATCAAGCAGCTACATTAACTCATCCTGAACGATGAATGAACAAGTCAAAATTTGCCACATACTGGAAAGAAGCTGCAGCAGCTGCCTAGAGAGCAGTCCTGAAAGGAACTGTAATAGTGAACCTCATGCCTATATACTGCTTGCTGAAGTGGACAGCAGCTTCTATGGATATCACAGGACACCAGAATAGCTCCAGTTGGAAGGAGTCTGTAGACATCATCTAGTCCAGTCCCTCTCTGCTCAAAACAGAGTCAACTGGAGTAGGCAATTCTAGCTGGTCTAAACACTACCTGTATTTTATCTAAACTCAAGCCTGAGCATCTAAATTCAAATAGCAATTATCTTCCTTTTACTACCTAACTGTGGAAGTATCTAAAGCTTGTCAAGAAATTTTCTAATTGGTGTGAAAATTCTCTAGCACTGTACATTCTCAAAAGCACCTCAATTTGAGCATTCACCAAATGCACTTCACAAACACTGGCTAGCAATTGATAATCATTATCAAGGAAGCAGAAAAAAAATGGGTCTAAAGTCAGTTCCCACACTCCAGGAGAGTACTGAGACTAGCATGAGAGAAAACCAAGAGTTGTGCGGTTTGGAAACCTTTCTCCTCTATAATTATTAACTTATTGGAAAATAACATACCTTCTATTTAAAAACAAACAAATTAAGCCCCTACAAAAATAAGAATTCTGCAATTCTTCAAGAAGAATTAAATCACAGTATTTCTTATTTAGAAGAGACTTCATTACTTTTACATTTTACCTTTATTTGCTCTAGTGACATCACCATCCCAGCATTACCAGACGTTCTATAAACACGTATTGCAAAATCCACCTCCATGTGATGTAAGCAAGCTCTGGCCAGCTCATTCCAGGCAGACTGGTCATTCAGAAGTTTGCACACTTCCCAGGCCTCAGAAAATCTGTGCAGAATAAAAACAAAAAACAAAACAAACATTAACGTCTTGATCTATTTTCCTCCTATTCCTAGGATAGGGAAAACTTAAAAATAATCTCCTTCTACACCATGGAGAGAAATCACATCAGAAAAAAAAAAAAAAAAAAAACACAAAAAAAAAGAGCAAAAAAAAGTGTGGGGAGGG